AGTGATCAGTCCAATAATGCAAATAATATTTCCCCTCAGCTCCCATCCACCAAAAGTAGAATCATAGGATCATTTAGGTTGGAAAAGACATGTAAGACCATCAAATCCAACCATCAACCCTACTCTACAGGAGTAGCTTCTCTTCTTTGCAAGAGAACCTCTTGCAAAGAGAGCACTAGGCAAACAGATGAGCTTGGAGATACTAATTAATTTTCTTGAGCAAAAGAGAGTGAGCCCAGACAGGCTGATCAGGCAATTCCTGGCTGAATTCAGCATACTAAATCAGCTCTCTTTCTTTCAAAAAAATCTGACTTTTGCATCAAAGAACATTGCTGAGAGTTCAACTGTTTGACTTCCTGCTCTAGGAGGGATGGAAGTGCCACAGTGATAAAAGATTTGAGACAGCAACTTTAAAATATGCAGCCTGGAAAGATACCAATCCATCTTCTCAGACATTTCCAAATAACAGCATATAAAACAAGCACAGAAAAATCAACTGCTTTTCGTTCTTGAGGAAAGACACTTTGCATTGAAAGAACTTTCTGAATTTGAAACAGCAAGTAAAGCAGCAATATTTCAATTTTATTCCCTGTGTTTAAAGGACTGAGTACAGTATAACAAATTTCTCCTTGCCCATTATTACAGTGTGTATCTATGTATCTAAGTGAATTATATTCACATGATCATTTAACTAGAGATTGCACAGACTAAGATGTTTATTTCTGTATTATCTCTTTTCAGAGAATACAACAGAGGAAATCAAGGGAATAAAGCACTGTGTTATGCCAAGGAGGCAATTTACCTTTTTTTCATCTAGGCAGTCTCTTTCCTGGAATTATTCCAGAGAGAAGCACTTTCATGCTGAAAAGTCCTCTTTGTCTTCATTCGGTTCTGGTTTCTGCTCCTTATCTGGGACATACCCAAGTGTTAACACCACTTAGGTTGAGCTAAGACACACATTGTCTCCTGGGCATTATTTTTTTTTTCCTGACTTGGATTTCAAGCTATTAGTTGGCTGGCAAATGTCCACATCAGCTCCCTAAAGCAGACACCAGCTTTTCATCAGGCTAATGGGTCCTGTGCTCCCCCACTGCACAAGACTCCATTTATACAGAAGGACAGTGCTCTCATGAGGTGTTGCCTTGACAAAAGCTCACTGTAGTAACAGACTTACTACACCCATGACAACTCTTCAATGCCCAAAGTCCAACTTACACCTTAGTTCTTTTGAGGGCAGGTGGAAGATGTAACACATATGCTTATTGCTTGCAGGTGAGGCTTAGGTGCTCCTAATACAGATCACAGAATTATTTAACTGTGCCACTTGTCAGCAGGTGCTAAAAATGCCTTTCAGTTTGTGATTGTGATACCAGACAAGCATTTAAGCATTTTTTAGTGTTCAGCAAATAAGCAGATAAAGCAAACCCTACATGCTATGCACAGAACTACCACAGGTATGATTTTATTCTACCTGTATATTCAGATAAAGAAACATATCTGAGTAGTATGCTGACCAGCATCAATGAGCTCAGTGCACAGCAGCTGGTACTTCATCACCTTAGACAGCTTCCAGTGCAACAAAAGCTCCAGGTTGCCTCATTTCTTTTTAACCTACTGCTGGAATTAATCATATGCCAAGATTCCTAAACTCAAAAATCTCTACTGATCACCAACATAAACACAAGTAAAAGCCATAAAAGCTTCTACATACATACAGCTGTGTTGCAGAGGCAAAAGACAGCTGCAATCATTAAAATAAGTGCTTCACTATCTACTCCTACTTGCAGCAGAAAACATGCAAAACCAAGACTACCATGAAAATCACATCTAGCATCACCCAAATTTCAGGGCTCTGAGTTTTGTGTATTTGAAATTCTTGGAGAGGAAAGGAAACAAGAAAACCCACCACAAATCACTCTCTTCAGCATGCATGCTGTTTAAATTAAAAAATCCTAAATTCCTCAATTCCTCCCCCCCTCCACAGTCCTTATCACCTATATGTATGAACATACACAGAACATGCCATATTAATTCAATCCAATAGACATGCATATAGCAAACTCATATTTTGCCTACAAAACTGTAACAAATGGGAAAGGAAAAGTTTACATCTCATGGAGCTTCGCTCACCAGTGAGAAATGTATGACTGAAAAGTTCATAGGACAATCCATTTTTCACACTCCTGGCCAATCTTTAGCCTCACAGAATTGCAATATGCTCCTCCAGGCTTCTGATAGCTTATATGAAGCATCTAAAAAAGCAGCTAATACCCTTACAAGTTCATTAATGTTTCAATATAAGGCCAGTCTGTTGGGAACACTTGAGCAATTCCCAGGATGTAGCCACCATTTCATGATATCCAAAGATGATTGTGTACATTAAAAGTTAGTCACTAAGCTCCACTACAATCCTAGAAGGGTCAAGAGGTTCCACTCCTTGGCCTTTTTGAAACTGCATTCAGAGACCTTTCAGCTGCTCTGAGCAGGGTACTGCTGGTCCACAGGCACAAGGTTTCAATGGGAACTTCATCTGGCTGCGCTCAGGATCAGTGAGGGACAATTAGTGACTCAGGATGATACGTTGTTCTTAACATGGAACATGCAACTGGGGGGGAAAGGTCAACTCTCATTCAAGATTTCAGTCTGTATTTGTACAGCTGCTGGCACAAAAACCAAATGAATGTTCTCTTTCAGAAACAGCAGCATCCAACCAAAAGCTTTCAAAGCAAGGGTTTACTACAACCCACTTCAGCACGTAAAGCAGATGCTGGGTTATTTTTAGAGCTACCAACATTTGTTCTCTGCCTTAACTCCCACTCCAGAAAGAAAATGGGGATGAAAGCACTCTTTATTCTCTCATGTTCCAAAATTCAGAGATCTCTGTGGAACTGTCCCAACAATAATAAAGAGCTTAAATATTAATTTAATTTGACATTCTCAATTACTTGCAACTACACAAAGAATGAGCCATCTCAATCTATCAACAAGACTTCCAATTCCTCCTTCAGAATGTAAATAATGACAACTCATAAAGCTTTTGCTTCTCACATGTAGCCACTCTTTCTTTACCCTTTTGCTGCCAAATATAAACTGTTCTTTTGAACACTATTCTAGACCCTAACAAGGACTATGAGTTCTATGTGACAATCACATACCAAGGTGCCTCCAGAAATCTGACAGGAAAAATTTTGTCAGGCAGACTAAAATGGTTGCCAAGCACTGTGCATACTGATAGCACTCATGGAGCCACTTGAAATGCTGGTAGAACTCAGCTGCAGCTGAGCATTTCCTATATATTCTGTTCTATGCATCCTTCATTAGAAATGAAAGAAAACTCAAGTCAAACTTGCAACTAAGCCTGTCTAAACTGTTTGAGAGGGTTATCTCAGACATGGTTTAAAGCTGTTAGCAGCACCAGTACCAGCCAAAGCATAATTCACAACTATTTGATACAATCATTCTATATAAATAAGTGATCTGAAACTCAGTACTCTGCTATGGCAGCAGTAAACTTCTTCAGCTTTTACATAAAAGAACTGCCAGAAGTCATTTGGTCATCGTGTTAAAGCTCCCAGCTGGACCAGAGACATTAGGGAGGAAAATCTATATCTAAAGGAATCTAAAGGAAGAGACAGAGAGTGGGACACCTCTCTTGCTGCCTTTGACATGTCTGAAGGAGGATCTTGATGGAAAAATCCTGTAGAATTTAAAACGTTTTCCAAATGCTGATATTTTCTCATGGCTTTTTCCCCTTCAGCCTTTCTAGAAAGTTATACCCTTAGATATCTACAGCAGAGTTAATTCAAACAAATCTATGAAGAAAATTAATTACGCTGTATTTATAATAGTTCCCACCTAATAGGTTGCACACCTACTTATGCCACCTTGGCAAACCAATATGCCCATCCTGTAAGAAAAAATACATCTCATTTCTAAAGTCTTATTACTCCAGGTTCTCTGTTTTCTCTTTTTTGGAGCACCTTAAGCCAGGTAATTCCATTGTAATTTTTTTTTCCTTTTTCCATCAGTTAAAGAATTAGAGCAGTGAAGTCAATGCAGCTACCCACTCTGCACAGAATATGAGCCAGTATAAGCAGAAATCCTGTCAGAGTCACCTACAAATAGACAGAATGGCTCATTATACAACATTGAGTGCTGTCTGTTCTTACCCACAGACTGACAGACAGATGGGAACCAAAAGGTTCAAACCTCTACATGATGAAGACAGTGAAACCTGCAGTACTTTCAAAATTTAAAAGGGTTAGCTCTAAAATCACTGCATCTGTACATGTTTGGTTTTTTTAATTTGTTCCTGTTATGAAGCAACAGCACAGATCTAGCACAGTTTGGTCTCACTCATGCCGTCTTTTTCAGTTCTGCTATGTTTTTGAAGTCCTTGCCTTCCTAAAAGTTTGCCCTTCATAAAATCATGATTAATCCTTAGTTTGTACTGATTGACACTGAAAATGATACAGTAACATAATACCAGAAAAATGTAGAAGTACTAGTCTGTTACAAAGATATTAAAATACTCCAGATGAACATGGAAAGTTTTACCAATTTAGTTACATATATATAACTATAGTTACAGTTTCACTGACTATAAAATAAAAACAATACACATAAACAGCCTGTCAATTTTCCCAAAGTAGAAGCTGGCTAGAAATACTGGGGAGCAGTGTGTGTAGCTATTTCTGTGTTCTACTCTTCAGGAGATGCTGACAACAAAACTACCTCAGGCTCATTCACTTGCAGAGCAGTCAAATTGGCAGTTACAGGAGGAGGAGCAAACCAGGGCTCACACACACAGCACTGGGCAGTCCTGCAAAATGAGCATGAGTGCAGCTTGGTGACTCCCACTGCCATTTTAAAACAGGGAAGAATGTTCTGTCAGTCTCCAAGTGGTTTTATCAACTGGCATAAGTCAAGCACAATTACAAAGAGAGATAGCTCATGGGATAATGCAAACAGAAAGCATGACAGAGTGAGTTCCTTGTTACCTTGCACCGTAAGGAAGACTGAGGCCGCAGTGGATCCACCTTCATTAGAAGCAATGCAGTTGTACTTGCCAGCATCCGTGAGCTTCACAGACTTCACCTCTAAAGACAGGTTGCTCATCACCCTGATCCGCAGGGGCTCCTTCTCCCTCACATCCCTGCCATTCCTCAGCCAGGTGAGATTGTAACGCACTGTGCTTGAAGTTAGGCAGGTCAGGATGGCTCCTTCACCAGGGACAACCGTCACGTTGTTAGGAACCTGAATCATGGGTGGAGGCTCTGCACAGACAGAACAAAGAACAAAACTGTAAGACCAACAAAAACTGGGAATCTTTGCTTCACTTGTGGACTCTTTGTAAACAACTTCAAGTAAACTAGTGTAAAAAAAAATAAAAATAACATCAGATAGTATTTAGTTTCAGTTCACATTGTTGATGTCATGAAACAGAGCCCAGGGTAGCACCCTTGTTCCCTGATGCTAAGTTACCTGACAGGAGCTGACACCACAAGAACACATCTGATTTAAAGGACAATGTGTTTCACACTCCTGGCCAATCTCTAGCCTCACAGACTGCAATGTGCTTGTTCATCTGTTTGTTACTAGCTTTCCACTCAACTCACCGGTTCACTTCTATCACACCCCTGGAAGAAAGCAGCTGCAATAATTTTGTACTGGAATTAAACTTTGAAATGACAGATATTTAAAATAGGAACAGTCATCCTGATGCTTCCTGAGATGTCACTGATAGAGGACACAAAAAAAGGAAAGAGAACACACTGTGTGTCACTTTATGTATTCCCATTAATAACACGTATCTATTTTTTCCATTTGTTTTTCCCCAGATTGGTTCTTGAAAAAAGAAAGGTTTGCAATGAATACTATTCCGAGTGAGATGCTTCAGTAGAAATTAGACAGCTGTAACAGCAAGACCAAATCTTTATCAGTACACAGCAAAAAACAATCATTCCAAGAAAAGCAATGATAACAGGGAATTAAAAACTGTATTTATTAAGGGTGAAAGTTACTCCTAAGCTCAGAGCCAGTACCAACTCCTCCTCACTCAAGTCTCATGTGGGGTCTCACATGAGGTTCACAAGCTTTCTGCTGGATCTCTCTGCACAGCAATGAATCACTCACCCTGCATGCTGGAGGTGCAGCTCTCCTTCCCCACAAACACAGCCCCTAACAGTAACCATGCTTTGCACCAAGGCTGCTTATTTTCACACAGAGATGAGACCAGAAAAGTTACACTTGCCTCCCAAGAACAGTGTTTCTACCCTGAACTTTAGGTTTGGGTTTGTTTGCCAGAAAAGACAAATCTAATGCTTTCCACGGGCATAACACTGAGCGTGTTACTTAAAGAAACTTATAAAAGAGAGAGGTGAAGGCCTGCACAGGACTAAAATCCTCGCCTTTTCAATGTCAGTCTGGTGGGGCATGACATCTTTTGGACTCCACCAGCATTCCAGCACAACAGAGCAACCCCCCAGCCATTCCCTAAGCTGAACCCCCAGCACCCGGAGCACTCCAGTTGAAGTGCCTGCACCAGCTAACGAGCCGTTTGACATTTTAAAGATTTAATACTAGTAAGACAAAGTCAAACTTCAGTGTTTGATTTTTCTGAAACCAGAAAATGTTGACACAGTTCCAATACCTTTAACACAGCAGCTGACAAAATGGATTATCTGTGATATACTGCCTGTCAGCTGGGCAAACTACAAATACTTGAAAAGATTGTTTACTTTGCTTAAAGAAATTTCAAGTAACTTTCATCCAAATATTTGTACACAAGGATTTCAAAGCATCTCCCTCACATTAATCCTCTTCATGGCTCAAAACAGAACTAATTGCTCATGTTTACTCAGGGAGTCAGTCTCAGTTGATCTCTGAGTGCTCTGTAAATGAGGATATGGGAGTTTTACCCCTCATGACTATTGACTTGTGAGTGCTACCAATATCACAAGAAAAAAGTCAGAATTCTCTTGCAGTTTTCTGTGTGAGGAGGAGCGTGGTTGTGACTTCCAGACCAAGAACCTCTCTGCCCACAATTTCTGGGGCAGAACACAGCAGCTTCTTGTCCTCCAAAACTTGGTTTGAAATAAACATATAGGAATACCCTACCTGCTAGAAGGATTTTAGTAGCCAAAACATAACATAGTGGTCCAGAGTTAGGACTTGGCTAAGTAGTGATGCTACTGCTCTGTTCTACTCCAGTACTTTGTGTGACTAAAAGGATGTTCCTCTCCTCAAATGTACCACTTGGTGTAAGAGGGCTGTTCCTCTACAAGCTTTGCCTTGCACAGAATTAGTATCATACTGCAGTGAGAGGAACCAGAAAAAGGGAAGGTGAAGGAATACATAACCAATCTCTTCAACTATCAAGTGAGTTGTTTTTGAGAATACACAAGAGTTGCCTCAGGGCACAAAGAAAAAGCATGAGAGTCTGTGGTCATAAGATGCAGCAGGGGAAATTCTGACAATTAGGCAAAATATTTTCCTAGTGGGGGTAATTAAGCACTGAGGGCTGCCCATGGAACTTGTGAAATCTCTGTCCTTGGGGACATCCAAAGTTTGACTGGACACATTTCTGAGAAATGCAATCAAGCTTGGAAGTCAATTCTGCTTTGAGCTGTGAGTTGGACTAAGTAACTTCCAAAGCTCCCTCCAGTCTACATTGTTTTGTTACACTATGATTCCTAGTCCAGGTAAACTAACCCAAATTAGCTGCTTCAGGAGGTAAAAGATAACTTAGATTTCAAGCAGCTACATGAAACCCTGAAGCTGAACTCAGACTGCTGCTCTCATCTCTGTCCTCACTGCCACCATAAATCAACTGATTCAGCTCTGGTGCTTTCCCTAGTCGAGAGCAATAGCTTACTCTTCTGCATGACAGATGTCTGATCATCACCAACAGAAAGCTACACAGAACTGGGTTTTGTTTCAATACAGAAATTATTTTACCGTTTCCCTCAGACTGCATGGCAACTGTGAAAAATTAAGTACGGGTATTGCTGCTCTCAGATGCATAAATAGGTTTTTCATGTTCACTTTCCCTGTGGGTCATCTTCCTGCAGAAGACCTCTAGTGTCAGCTGAAGCAGTTCAAGACTGTGCATTTTTAATGTTTTCTCCATCTGTGTTTGGAGTGCATCTTGGTTTACAGTTACTTAAACCAAATTCCTCTGACAGAGCAAAAGGATTAACTGTGTGAAACAAAGCCTGTTATTTCCCTTGGGGAAACATTTCTAGCTGATCTGCAACTGAAACTCTCAGCAATAACTAGAGTCCACATGTCCCAGCAGTCAGACGGACACGTACATGAACAGCAGAGCTTTACATTTACCCCCACAGAAGACCAACTTCACACTCTCACTTTTCCCACTCCAAAGTTTCAGGTGCAAAACTTGACCAGGATGACACTATTCACTTTTCAGAAAGGATTCTCTCTTACCACAACTAAAGTTTAGGAATAATTCCTGGGATATATAATTTAGTGTCCCAAGTCTGAACAGGTCATTAACTGACATAGGGAAATTTCCCCTCCATAAGCAAGTGGAATGTCAGTGCTTTATACTTTGAAACTGCTTTAACACAGAGCACACTAACTCGTGCTAAGTGGATGCCAGATTTATAAATACCCGTCCTTTAAATCAAGATGTTTATGGAGTTAGAAACATTTTATATTAAAAAAAAACAAAACAAACACAACACAGTGATTTAAGTTACCTGTTGGACAGATAATGATTGCTAGCCATTTTGGAGCTAGCAGCCAAATACTTCTGTATGCTCAAAATTATTTCTGTGTTTAGCCCAATTTATTCCTCATTTAATTTTACTTCCTTCATGCTAGTTATTCACTTGTAAAAAAATCAAGGTAATAAGTGAGAAAAGAATGCCAACAATTTCCTGAGTCTTGCTTAAAAAAAACAAACAGAAAACTTGAATTTATAATTCCTTGTCTATAATGTATATATACAATCAAGTAAACATATAATTAGTACAACTTGAAATAAAAATGAGAACAATTGAAATCTGACATTTCAATGTCTGCTTCAACAGGCCGTATCTATCCTGCAAGCACAATTGATACTGGGAACAAATTCAAACAAATTCAGTGGTAACACTTAAAATATTCATAATAAATGAATAAACATCCAGCACAGGGTAGGACCACAGCTCAGCACCGAAGGACAGACTAGTGCCCACCTGACACATCCAGGAAGGTCTGCGCGCGCCCGGTGCCGGCACTGCTGGTCGCCAAACACTCATAAAAGCCTTCATCAGACAAGGAGACCGTGGCAATTTCCCAACTCATACTGGATGATTCTCTGGAAGGAAGAAAAGGGCATATTCACTGAATTCCTGAAGGAATCAAGGGGTACAAGAACCTGGGTTTCTTGACTAGAAACATAGAAGATTTTCACAATAATTATGAGGAAAAACAGACCCCCTGGTTAATCAATTTGGATATAGCTTTATGGATTTTATTTAAAGAAACAATAAATACATTGTTAGGCTTATTCTAAGTAGTAAGAAGTTTAATTTCTGCATAAATTCTCACTTGCACATCTTCAAATGTGCCTTTAAAATGTACCAATAGTTGTCCCACAGTAACTAAGCCCACTGCATTTGCTGTCGTCATTCAGCTGATTGTACCCTATTGCTACGTTTGCTACCTGAGATGTCTTTCCATAATACCAACAAGTTTCTGCCAAGAACCAGTTTGTGGTACCAAACCTGTGGCTCTTCCTCGCCAGGGTAACAAGGGCTCATCCTCCCAGCCCAAGCTTCTCAAAGTTGCAGGTACAGAGAGATGCTCCACACAAAGGAGAGCCCGTCTTTTACCAGATATAATCCATGAGGCTCCATGCAATGTATAATCCACAAAGGCACCATGAGGCTCACACAGGGGAGTGGGCAGCACCTGCCCTACTGCAGGATGGCTACTACATCAAAGGCAGCTCTCTTTGTACTTTTTAAACCACAGGGAAAACCTGCATCCCAAACAGGTATAATTCAGCAAAATGTGAAGCACTGGTACAAAGATGACACTGACTTCTGCTGTGCTAGCTGCACTGCTGAACTCACAGCCAGCAGGAACTACCACAACCCAAAATCCTGCACCCTGATTGCCTGGCCATGCAAAAAAATAGTGTAACACACAGAGAGAGAACTGATGGGTTCCAGGCTGAAAATGGAGGTGGGGTACAGAAGATGTAAGCAAAACAATCTAACAGTAACTTAGAGCAATACTTGGAGTTTTTCTACAAATCACAGTAAGGTCAAAGCTGACAGGCCATGATACCATCTATCACATACACTGACAAAGTCAAGAAGAGAATAAAAGTACAACTACATTGACTGGTGGTTACATGTGCTTAAAAATAAACACTTTTACAGCTTCTCAAGATTCAAACCCACATTTTACACAACTAACAGTGCAACAGACTGACACAGATTATGACATAAATGAGCAAAACAGTGTTTCTTCTGCAGTGACTCGTTGCTATGGCACATAAACAAAGCTGAGGAGTGCTGAAAGATCCATGTTAGCTTTGGCAAGTAATTGCCACGTTACGAGAAAACACTAAACTAGTGAAGCCATTGTCTCTTGTTTGTCTGAATAGATTGATTTAACCCCTAAACCCCTAAAGGATACAGAAAGAACAAGAGGAAGAGACTTGGAATACACATGGAAGTCCAAGGCTGCAGCACCACAAGTCAGACAATCCAATTACACCACAAATGAAAAGAGTTCATAGTGACCTTAAATGGCTCCCTATGTACTCTTTCTTACTTCATACTTATTCCAGATAACCTAATATATCATACATCAAATCTATGAAGTTTTACAGCGCAATGCTGGCAAACGGAAAGGGTAGTAGCTGCCAACACCAAAGAATAAGGTAGTACTTCTTCCAAGCAAAAAGTGAGAAACTTCTCTTTGTCATGGAAAGCATGTTAAAAGTCAGGTTATGCAATCCCATTCTTCCCCATTCCTGACTTTTCCTACACACCAGATGTCAAACACGGAAGCCTTGAGAACAGAAGCATAAAAGGAAACGTGTTCAGAGTGGAAAAGCTTAGCAAACAGAGACCTGCAGTGATCTATTAAAAAATTTGAAATTATCACATACAAGAATGGCAGCAATGAATAATACACACCTCACAGCACGTGCTGCACACCTGGGCACTGACTCTGAAAAGCAGTAACCGCACACAAGTCTTTGCAACACATGTCATTAGGATATCTCAGCACCTTTCAGCATCAAGTCAGTCATTTACTTACCCTAATAATTTTACAATATATGCAATCTGCTAATCAAACTGCTTGTCTAGTCCAGAAAATATGAACATACTCCCTTAGCTGCAAAATCTGAATACTGAATCATATCCTTGTTGCTAGTTACTGGAGAAGCACTGGCAGAGAGCACAGAGATACTCAGGCTGTATCTAACCTCACCTCTAGGTCCTCACACACCACTGTGCTCCATGACCCACTTCCTCTTGGAAGTTTCCAGCAGCAGGCTGTGGCTCACATGGATAAACTAAAACCTAGGGCTCACTAGTACCACACTAGTTAACACACCATTTGGAGGGATATAGTCTGTGTGGTTTAGCAAATTAGATACTAGGCTGGACTAACAGCCTTGAACATCAGCTGATTCAGAGTGATTATCATTATATTATTATTATTATTGTTATTGTTGTTATTGCCATTGTCATTTTAATTAACTAAATGGATCATCTTTGACAGAATTTCACATTGTTTTTGCTGATTCTACCCTTTGCAGGGTTGGTGGCAATCTATTTTTAATACAGACTGGATTTTAAAGACACATTAGTGCTCAGTTGCCACAGATTTCCCACTAGAATTAGGTGTTTAGCTATTGTTCTTGGTCTTCTAAATCAGACTTGTCAGAAATGATGCATTAGGTTATTAATCAAAAATTTCTTACCAGACCACCACAGGATGCAGAAATCTAGAAAAACAAAGCTATTGCACTTTTCAATAAATTTCTTTTTCCTACACTCATTTAAAATTAGGAATTCTTATTACTACTGGTAGTACCTCTGGAATCATAAAAAAAAAAAATTAAAAATACCTTCACTTCAAGAATCCTTAACCTAGAAGACTCTCACACAGACAACTGTCATGCTTGAACTACAGTATTTAACTTCTAAACTATTCACTTTCTGAAAGTAGCATTAAAAAAATAGTAAATATGACATGTTGTCACCAAACAAAACTCACTCAAACCTGCTCAATGCAAAGCAATTATAAAGCTCAAATCTCTTTTAAACTAGTAAGCTGGACACAATCCTGCACAGAACTTCACTACAAATAAAATGCAGAGAAGCCAAGCCAAGCCAAATTAAATCCTATTTAACTGTGATCAATAATATTTGGCTTGAGATGTATTTTGTTAAATCAGCTTAGAAGATCTGTTCATTTGTCTGGTCTGTAATATGAAAATGAAAAATGTAGCCCAATCACAAAGGTGCTGGGTATGTGGAAAGCAAGAAGTGTGTGGCTTGATAACTGAGGAATGGAAACAACTACACAGCTGCTGAAGTATGTGCCAGGTTTGACTAAATGTAAATGGCACCTCATAAAAAAATAAAAAGCTGCATCATGTCAGTGCCAACAATATGCAAAGAAACTTCAGAATTGATTTATTTTGGTAGTCATGTACTTGCTGCTGAAAGCTTGAACCTAGCATGGAGTCTTGTCCAGAACTGCTTCAGGCTTTAGAGGCTCCCAACACTGCCTTCTAGTACATACTTCCCTTTTGTTTTCAACTACCAGAATCACAAAATGGACTTCATTAATATTCCATTTATAAATAATTCTTTTGATTCTTATCTAATTCTACAGAGAAAAAGTATGTAATCTATGTGCCACATAGAAATCCAAAGAGCCTTCTGGTATACTCAGTATGAGTTTTCCTATTTTGAGGGATTTTCTGAAGAAGAAAGTTTTCCAGTCTAAGTCATTCATGAAAGCCCATTAAGAACAAAGCAATTTAATGTATGTTCCATAATCTTCTATGTATTACTGCAGGGGGGGGGGTCCAGAAAAAAAACAGTTACCAAGCTACTTTCAAAAATAAAAGTTAAAAGCACCTGCCTTGTAGACTTGTAAACGTTTATCATGATTTAAGAGCACATATTTTAGGAGGATTTTGGCCAGAATTACATAACGTCACAATCTATATAGAAGGCATGCCCTCCTCAAAGATGCAAATATATATTATAAATCTCTCCATACAATACAGCCTCCCTAATAAGTGTCACCCAAAATAACAGAATGGTAGCAACAGCTTATAAGCAGTATCTAATAGCAGATACTGAATAGAAATAATTGGATATCAATAGGAAATAAAACAGTACTGGGGAAAAAAAAGGTTGCTACTCACTTGAAGAACTGATCCACTCCTAGTTTTACTCCATTTTTAGTAAAACGTTGAGTAAAAGGTACAAGACTTTCTACATGGCAAGGAACAGACCCTGGCTGTAAGTAATATCCTGGAGTCTTGGTGGGCATTGTAACCTTTGGAGCATCTGAAGAAAACAAATATTCCCCAGAAGATTATTAATAGCTACTAAAACATACCCTGTATTTTATTAAAAGGAAATTCAGTTTCTGATAAACCTATACTTAGTAAAAGAAAACAGCACAGAAAGTACTTGTGTAAGCTAGAAACAGGTATTAGATATCCATTTTAACTGACTCAGATATGATGAATGCACATTCAAATTGAAATCTCTTACCAGGAGTAATACTAGAAAACGAAACACTCGAAACTCTCTGAAAAAGATAATCATCCTTGTCATAGCCCATTATTTTAACAAAAAAGGCTTCATTTGGTGGAATGAAGTCAGAAATATTCCATAGTCCATAGGGCTTTCTCTCAGGATAGTATTTCACAGGCAAGGTCTTAAGAAGTTCTCCTGTAATACTCAGAAGTTCCAGTCGGTCTACTCTAGCTGGAAGCAAGATCCCTGAGGTATTTAGCAGCACAAAAGTAGGAATTCCTAGAAAAACAGAAACATAATATTTTAAGTGCTAAAAAGGAAAGGTTAATTTCCATAGGTATGGCCCACCACCCCATGAATACACCATTCAGTTTCAACCCTTACTTATTAAGTAGGAGAATACTAACAGCTAAGCTGTGCTCTGCTCGTTAGCTGTCAGGAGGCACAGCATTGATTAGGGCTTAAATTACCAACCTCCAGCAGGTGTTTCTGAAATAGCAGCCTCATTATTAAACCCTCCCCATGCCACAAAGCCAAAGGCTTTTTCTGAAGCTCCGAAAGTAATAGAAACAGAGTTGCAATTTTGAGGCATTTCATAGCTAAATGCCTGGATTTGTGTGACATAAAAAACCAAGCTAATATGAAAAATATCATAGTATGAAACAGAAACTTTGGCTGTTGTCACACATTCAAGGCCCAAGAACCTACCAACAGCAGCCCCAGATTCATCCCAAAGTTCACCAGAGAGACCATCATCAAGTTCTACTTGACTTTGGGAGCCCAAAAAGGTTATTGTTTAGCATGGAATAAAATGGAAACAGACCTTGCACTGGCCTGCTGGCTGTTTTTTTAAAGTCTAACGTTGGCTTCCTAGAAAACCCAGCTCGAAAGTCAATAGTGCTGAGACCCGTGATCCGAACCGAGTGCCTTCCACTGCTCGAGGTCTGAAAAAGCAAGGGATAGAACATGTGCACAAACAGCATTTCAGGAATTGCAAAGCTTCTGGTCCATCCACTGAGTTCAGCAGAAACAAGTCACAAGTATAGACCAGCCTCAGTCAACACTGTGTAGTAAATCCAGCCCTGGTCTCCATAGGAAAGCAGAGGACACAGAGGTACCTCTCATGGCTACTCTGCACCCCTCCCCAGCCTTGTCATTCTGGTTGAATCAGAAAAAAAACAACAAATCACAAACAACCTCCACCTGCCCACCCACCCTTGGAAAGCCTTAGCTTTGTGTTGCTCGAGGGTACAGCTGCTTTTATGCAAGTCCTCAATCTTAGAATTATTTTATTTTCTTAAAGTTACTTTCTATCATTCTGTGTTGAGAAAGAAAACTGCTGCTTTGCCAAGAGCACACAGACACTCAGCTTTGTCCTCATGTACTTCCACAGCCTTCATGTTAGGAAAAAAAATAAAAATAATAATAAAAAATAAACAATAAACCAAACAAAAACCACATAACACCCCTTAAAAGACCACCCAAAACAAAACACAACACTGGTGCACTGTACAGAGTACGGAGTTAGATTTTTACAGGCTTAATGATAATTTCAACCAGAACAGCAGGACAAAAGATAGAGGCAGGGAGGGAGGGAGGTAGGTAGATAAGATAGATAGATAGATAGATAGATAGATAGATAGATAGATAGATAGATAGATAGATAGATAGATAGATAGATAGATAGATAGATAGATAGATAGATAGATAGATAGATAGATAGATAGATAGATAGATAGATAGATAGATAGATAGATAGATAGATAGATATTCAAAAGGCTGTAAAGAGTGATAGCTGAGCTACAGGATCAAATCTGCAGTTAGCAGAACCTACTCCAGGTTTTTGTTCAGAGACATGATACAGCATACAAGACTTGCAATGTGAAAGAAAATCAACATTATAATTAAATAATTGCACTGAGCTTTATCTATCTAGATCTGATACTCGCTCAAATACATAATTCCTTCAGTTTAGTAGCCACCACTGATACAGCTGCATGTGAATAATAAACTAAACAGTTGTTTCTTATAACTAAGTGCCTAGGGACAGCCATTTAGCCACTGAAACACTGATGTGTCTCTGATTAAAATAACCCCTATTTGCTGCTATTTGGTTAGCCTTTCACCTCAGGAAAATCACTACTGAAGCTTTTTTTATAGAAACCAGCTGTTGGCAATATAAAGATATCTTTAAATGTGCCAAATAACTCATGTTATCAAACGTTAATTGGCAGTTAACATTTCATTAGACAAACTCGGACAAACTTCTCTTTTAATAGTTTTATGCATCTGTATAAGGAATTTATGGTGTGAATAAACTTTTCACAAAGTTCTTTTTAAGTCCTTCGTCACAGCCTCACAATCTTAATGCAAATAAGCCAGTGAATGAAGCTGAGTAAGTGATCCATAGAAAAATACACTTAATTAATTATTCAGACTTTTGGATACTTGTGAATTTGTAAGGCTAGAATAACCTCAGAGGTTTACCACTTACTAGTATAAATAAATGCATCTGTCACTGACATGCCTGGGAGCTGGCAGTCTTATGCAAACACCCAAGAATAGCCTTCATCCCAAAGGATTGCTTTCCAATTAGCATCTTTGTCAAATCTTTTTTCATTATTTGTCATTTAACATGGATCACTGGTATTGTACATGAGTGTTTCTCTTCCCAGACTGGATGAGCATGATAAAAAGAACAAACATATCAGGAAACAATCAGGAAATACTGCTACCCTGGCTTGCAAACAAGACAAAATAAAACTGCCCCAAATGCATGTACCTATAAACAATTTTGAAAAAATCCAGTGTTTTTTCATTTAACCCTAACTTTTCACACAACAGAAAAACCAAACTACAATGGCTAAGCAAATTTTTTTTTTTATTGCACAGTTATATGTATATATTTATAGTGATGGAGATTCACAGCTGATTTAGGCTCTACTGGCCTGGTTTGTCATTACACTCCATTGACCCAGCTGCCTTTGGCTACAGGGTTGTCAGGGAATAAGAGCAGTCATTAAAGACCTGTCTTGATCACTAGAACAGCTGAGTTTTTCTGCCCGTTTCTCACTGCTTCTCCTCTCCTACTCTCCATCAGGCATATGGCCACTTAACTTTAGATAGCAGGGAAGGTTTGTGGCATTGCTCAGGTGAAAAAGCTGCAGCCTGTTGACTAAGGGCAGACCAAGCAGCAGTGAACAGCTTCTTAGCCCTGCCTCTCCCTCATCGTTCCTCTCCCACTGAAAGCTCAGGGCAGGACAGGCCACTGAGGAGTGACTGGATACAACTGCCTTCAAATGCTGCTCTCCTGGAGCATGCAGGGAACTGTTATTTGCAGGATGTTAGATGCCTCCCAGACTGCTCCAAAGAAATCTTTGAAGAGGAGTCCATAGGAGTGGTATGTGGGAGGGATTCACAAAAGCAAACTGATGTTCCCCCTTCTATTAAAGGGGCCGGACCGCTCCTGTGGAGACCCATCTTGGCAGGTATCAGCCACAGGACCAGCAGATAAATTTAGTCTCACAGCTAAGCTCAGGGGTGCAGAAAACACAGGCAACAGCAGGACCATCTTTCTGCAGAAGCAGGCTTCCTTCTGCACAAACCCTGAACTGGCTGATAATGGAGAGAGGAGCCACGTGCCCATCTCATGGCACTGCCCTTTGAAAAGAACCTCCTGTCACCCTGTAGACCAAGAGTACTACAGCAGGCCTGGAAGGAAAACTTGTTTATCAGATACAGATTTGCTGGCCTTGTGCTGAAATGTCTGAAGGCAACTGGAGGCCTCCTGCAGCAGAGGAGGCAACTGGATCACATACTGTGTTTCATGTTACTCCAACCTGTGATTTCAAGACTACCCTGAGCACTGAAACTGCACTAACACTGATTGTGGGTTAAGGTGGGGTCTTCCCAGGCTGATCATTCTCCAGCTGATATACCAGTGGCTAATACTGTTTAGCTCACCACGATTTGTTATTAATAAGTTCTTGCACTTTCAGGTATCAAGGACTTCTATGAGCTCTTGGCATAAACCTAATTAAGACCCACTTTGCTCATAATAGTTGAAGTAATTAAAATATTTCAACCATGTTCAGCACTTTCTTTTTTCTTTCTTTTTTAAACCCAAAATGCATAAATCTGAAGGTATCCTTCTCCAGAGAACTGCAGATAGAATTATACTGAGCTTAGAAAAACAAAACCAACAAACTTAGTGGCTCTGAGTGCAGGGGCCTGTTGCTTTGGCCAGAAGTAGTTCACATCTAGCTGAGCAGGCTGGCCTGCTTCCAGCCGAGCTCCTGGGCAGGTGGTTCCATGCTGAGTGCCAGCCTTTTTTTAGGAGAGCTTATTAGCTCTGAAGGGTGTTACACACTGAGCCTTGCTGAGTGACAGGCTCCTCTCAGCAATCCCTGGAATGCTTGGGCAGCACAGAGCAAGCATACACAAGTGGTTCCACATGGCTCAGCTCACATCTAAAAAGGCCTCCACTCAGCAACAGCCCTGCAGGGCCAGGGAGGGATCACACTGGGCTTTTGCTTTCCTGCTCAGTTTCTCTGTTGCAGGGCACAATGTTCACTAGATTGCATGTTTAACCTGCTAGACTCCAACAAGCTACACAGCTGAATACTAAGGCAGTGACTATAGGAAAAGTTCTTTCAGTACCCAATGTGTCTCGCATTACTATGTCCAGTCCAAACAATATATTTTTAATGTTGTGTTGTGTCTTTTTTTTTTTACCACAGGCCACCCAGGGTGTCTGTGTACCAGGTTTTTCAGAATTTCTAGTCCTGGCAGCATAAACAGACATTCAAGCAATTATCAATGACATAATGAGCATGTTATAAAACAAAATGATGAATCCATAGATTTCCCTAAGTCTAGCCCAGTCCTAAACTTCATCTTCCAGGTTACCACTGCATGATAGTAGGAGCACCCTCCCTCATCCCCTTCCCTCTTTTGGTTTTAGGTAAGCAACTTTTGGCCTCATATACTGTTACCTTGAATCCCTGGTAAATGATGGGGTAAAGGCTAGCCTAAGCAATCCACTTTGTGTTCTCAACTGACGTCCAATTTATACATACATTTATTGATATATAAATGGTAAAGATTTTAGCTACACTGGCTTCAGCTCACCGCCCCAAGCGTTTTGTGAGGCAATAGGGGATAATTGCTCCTGGAGGTGACTGCACTTACACATCTAGCTCACCATGTGCCTCACAACCAAGGCAGTCACAGGAACTCATGGCCAACAGCAAATATTTAAACTCACAGTCACCCAGGGAGAATCCCAGAGAACCACAGCCCTAAGTGGCTCTTTCACCACTGAGGCACCTTGTTCTTCCATTCCAGAAGCAGGTATGTCCACGTATCATTACCTAGGAGCTTGCTACAGCTCTCAGAACCAGCAGGTGCAATTGCTCTTCATTCACTTCAGCACACACTCATCCTAACACATCAGGGAACTTCCCTACAGGCTGTTATGGGAGCAGCAACCTTTGGCAAAGGGAGCTTGATTAAAGGGTCACAATAAGTTAAGTTGCCTCAGTCAGTTCCAAGAAGACCATTTAGGAGCCTTAATGACCCTTTTTTGTTTGGTTACTACTGCTCATCTTATTATCTTAACATTTCCAAATCCTTTAGGATGCAGTCTGCAACTGTGTGTGCACTCACATGATCAAACTTATTCACATACTTTAGTATTTAAATAATTTAAACAAATTAAATGTGTATTTATTGACTTTGTGAGCCTGCTAATGAAATCTATGGCCTGAAAAGTGCCCATCATCTCTGACTCCCAGTCCTCCAAACATGCTGTACACAGCAAAGCCCCTGTGAGCCCACTCTACAGAGGGTATGTGCTCCAAATTCAGACTCCAAAAATTCAGTGCTCACTGCTTTCTTTTTCTATCCAAAGGAAAAGGACAATCTCAGGATCTGACTTAAGACAGTAAAGTCTAATATGTTATCATCTTAAGAATTTTGTACTATTGCCTTCAGACTATGTCACAACAGCACTCAGGTCAGAAAGGACATTTATTATGACACAAACTCATCTATGACTACCTATGAAAAATAATGTACTAAATCCTTATACAACCCCCTTACAAGCTACAGGACAAGTTCTACATGATGTCTGCAGAATACTTACCTTGATTGTCCATGTTCCAGGCTCTGGATCTTTGACATTTACAACCTTTGCAGAGTTGTGGATATTGAGCAATTCATTCAGTCCTGATCCTTTACTGATCTGCTTGCCTAAAAAAACAAGGAGTAAACACAGTATTGTTCTTCTGTACTGATCTATTTTTGATAATTGATTTACTTCTTACTTAGCAGTCAATGACATTTACAACAGTCAAAATTCCCTGTAATTCTTTACCAGAATACTAAAAATGCTCATTTTCAGTCTTTCTGTTCACTTGGAAAGCATAATACAGCCTGCAACAACACAGAGCTGTGGGAAACCCAGGAACTGTGAGCAAGAAAAGGTTTTCTTCTTCACAGGAAAGAGTCCACTCTCAGTGAAAGGAGGCAGTACAAAAGCCAGCTCCTTCAAAGGGCATCTTGGAACAGCCTTACCCTAACCTACCTGCCAGCCCACTCACTCTTCTACCCACCAGACCTATTTGAAGCAGGACAAACTCCAGGTGGAAATACTGACAAGCCAGGTTCTCCTGGCAGAGGGGCATTCACCTGTGAATAAAGGTGGGAATGCATATGAGATCCTCACAGGGAATTTTGTCCATTAGACAGCATGGACATTAAAAAAAGAGGGCAAGTTTTCATACTGCATCATAGCACACTTCATATGCACTACTGTGCATGCAGATGTATGGATGGTTTTATGCAGGAACTGCTTATCTATAGAGGCATCTTGCTTCCTCACGGCTGACTGTGAAGGACCATCAGCACTAAAGACACACCTGGCTCTCCTGGAGGGCAAGGGGATGTTGAGAATGCCATGTCCTGGTGTCAATATTTAAGAGTTTAACAGTGAAGCAGTGTGGATTTAGATGCATGGAGCTGACCTATGAGAAGGTCAAACATGCAGATGGGAGTCAAAGCTTCAGCTAAGCCTGGCAGTTGTATCCAGGATTGGGTGCAATCATGATCTGAATAGACCCTGTGAGCAAATCTCTTTCCTGTAAACAAAGAATGCCTCAGTAGAGGACAGACGAGATCATATTGCACAGAACCCACCCATTCAGAGCATAAAACATTTCCAAGATACTAAAACTTAAGCTACAGCTAGAAGTCATTCAGAGAATACAAAGTATGATCTGAATTTATTTCAGAATAAATAATACATAATAAAAGGAACAGTAGATTTGTTAAAATATCTTAAATTACAAGTTAGCATCCAAATCTGTCACTGCATTCCCCATCACACACTGCTCAGCTAGAGATGGACACATGAAACAGGGTTTGATTCTGAATGCTCTCATTGTTCAAAGAATCCAGACCTTGCCCTATATTTCACCACATAAAAAACCACCATCACCTGTAACCCCTAAATGTTGATTCAGTGACTACATAAATACATGAACAACAAAACAAAAGTGTCCAGAAATGCAAGGACATTGCATTGAATGTGTCCATTGAATGCAAGGACAAACAATAAGAAAGCAGATAGAGGTGAGGTGAAGCAGTTAGAATAGGGAGGATTTCTGGTTTCCTCTCAGCCAGAAAAATGTAACACTGGGAACAATCTAAGTATCAGAAGTGGATACATCCACAGATCCTGTATTTTAAAAATAAAAGTAAAAAATACACTGAAATCCTGATAATGTTTTTCAAAATGTGGAAGACATTTAAGAATCACAAATATGGCCTTCCCTACTGGAGACAGTAGGGATTGTCTTTTTCATTTTTCTTGCTATCACAAAAAAAGGTAAAATACTTCACCTAATGGATCATGAATTTCAATTGCTGGTGAAGGACCACTCAAGGACACCGTAACCTCTTTCAAACTTGGATCAAAAGGGATCTGCCAAGTATTTACAGCCATGGTCAAATGGTCTGTAGACAAGAGATGCACTTTGGAGGCTTGAACTGCTTCTTCAACCCACTTCAAAACCTAGAAGAGATAATGACATTTGTTAATACACTGTCAACAGTATCTGCTGTTGAAATACTGTTTATACTGTCTTGTAGAGATCCCACATTAACTTCTATTGCAATGGAAGATCACTACTTTCACCTATGATCCTAGGGTCTGATGACATGCAGCTACCACATCACTCTGAGCAAACACACTGGTAAAGGACTTGCCTAATATAATAATCCAGTGCTTTCGTTTCAACAAAGATACTCTGGAGATGGCACAAGCAGGGTTTCAACTTTTATCAGGAACACACAAGAGCACAGGAATACAGAAAAAAAAAAAAAGGAGACAGCAGGCCAGGAATACAGAGGAAACCGAGCACTGACATCCAAGCAAAGGATGTCAACTTCAACTTCTGCTGCTCAGTGTAAGAATCGATACACATGATGTGATGAAACAGACAGCCTGGAAAAACAAGGACCAAAACCATGTTCATCTTACCAAGATTCTGGAATGAATAGATAAATCACATTAGGACAAATATATTTTAAAACATGCAATTTTAATAGAACATCCTGCTGGGGCCATGATCAGCGTGATGCTTAAACAAGTACTTAAACAGACCTGAATACACCTCTACAGAAGATCTACAAATACATGTTTAAAATTAATTAGGGATACAAATATATGCATGTTCCTGGTCATCAGCTAACTGCAAGAAGGAAAACTTCTCTCACCCAGATGTACTGAGTAATTGCCATCTGTGGACTTTTTCAAACACCTGACCAAAAAAAATACTATTAAGCATAACACACAGGTCAGGACAGAGGGGAACAATGCTTTAGAAGAACAATTCTTGCAACCAAAATCAAATTTCTGCCTTACAGAATTACAGTCCTTAGCTTTAAATGTCTTAAAAAAAATTATTAAAAAATAAAAAAGAATAAAAATACAAACCAGAGAGAAGCTGAGATCTCACTGTCTCACTTACTGCTGCTGCCAGAGCTGTCACCCTGCACCTGTAAGGTGACTCAGCCTGAGAGAAACACCACAGGCCCAGAGCCCGTCGTACAGGGCAAAAAAAAGTAGAAACAACACAGGTCAAATTATTTTATAACCCAATTTCTCCACAGCCTTTGGCCCGGGTGTGAGGCACAGGCCGTGGGGCAGCCCCTGGGAGCAGAGCTGCTCCCCTGCCAGGGCTGCCCCTCTGCCACAGCCCCTCAGCACAGCTGGGAAATGCAGCTGGGAAAGGGCAAAATGCTGCCTCAGGCTTGAGGGGGGGGCAAGAAAGTGTGGGGAGCAGCCAAGTGAGAGACAAGAGGGGGGCTGCTGATGCTGGAGCAGAGGGCCCTGCTGCAGCCTGCGTCTCCCTGCATCTCCTGCACCTCCCTGCACCCCCCTGCAGCTGGGGAGCAGCCCACGGCCCAGCACTTCTCTCCCAGCAGGACTGCAGGGTGAGGGAGAAAAGGGTGAGGAGGAAAGAGGCAGGGAGAAACTCCCACGTACAGACCACAGCCCCATCTCCCACTCCCTCCGCAGCACCGGGGAGAGGGAGAGGAATGGGGAGGGAAAGTCAGCTTGGGAAAAGGTGGGGAGAAAAGTTTTCTTACTTAACTTTGTTTCCCACCACCTGAAAAAATGATTACCTATTTTAATTGGCAACATAGTAATCTTCTTTAAGTTGTTTTGCCCTCAACAGTGACCTGTGAGCAACTTCCCTGCCTTCACCTGGACCCAGCAGCTTTCCTGCCCATTCCTCCCTTTTTCTCCCCCAGCTGGGGGAGAGGGAGCAGCTGGATGGGAGCTCCACCATCAGCCAACACTAACCTGCTGCAAGCAAAAAACTCAGCCTCTCCAAAAAAACACCTCGTCTGTCAAAAAATAAATTATACTGCATCAGCTCTGCAGGTCACAGAACTGCAGCATTTTTTTTTTTAAATCCCATTGAAGCAATATCAGTTTCATATACCACTGTAAATACAATTCAGTAACACTGAACCACTACTTTTGGTTACAGTTAACCAGCACAGCATTCAGAAAAACCTTTTAAAGGAAAATTTGAGTATATCAATTCAACTAGTCAGTGCACAAGTCTTGGAAACCAACACTAAAACCAGGACAAGTTATCTGTCAGCAGTGGAAGGCTCAAGAGCAAGCCTTGAGCTCTAGGACATGATTCAACACACCAGCCCCAAAGTGTCTCCTTTCCATGGCTTGTTTGGCATAATTTGCACACTTTTTCCATTTAAAAAAATGGTTAGAACATCAGGTTTTTGTGCAAGATCACTTTTGTGATACAAATTAGATTCCAGTCTGTTTTAAATGAAACTTGTTCTTATATGTTATACTATGAGTGCTGAGCAACCTTTGTCTAAATGTGAAATAAGCTTACATAACTGAAGGGCATAATTCAAAATGCATTTGAAATTGCATGTTTTCATAAATTATTATCCCTCCACTAGCAGTAATACTGCTCCCAATGCAGTGTGAAGTGAAACAGCATTAACCCCTAACAAAAGTGATTGTGTGCCCCCTCCACAAGGTCTGCAGGAGCAAGGTGCTTAGGCATACTTTAAAAAGAACATACAAAAATCCCAGTAAAACTAACTGTACTACTCAAAACCCTGAAGTAACGTCACCCTGAAGAGAAATGCAGTTTCTGCAACAGCTATTCAGCAACTGTTTCCTTTTGACAAGCCCAGAGCAGAAATCACAAGGCTTCAAAAAGATAGAGCTCATTTTAAGTTTTACCTTTAGAAATTACACATTTGGGTCCAAAAATGCTTCCAAAAGAAATTTCAGTCTGCTTTGCTCACATTACACTGAAATGAGTATGCCAGATTTTTTGTAGTAGGTGTATGGGAAGGTTTCCATTTAATTCTAGGATCTTAACTCCACTGGTAAGTTTTTTAAATAATTGTAAAATTTAATGAACCTCTATGAATTTTCAGAAGGGAACGTTCCAGTCTTGCTGAGACTCCTTTCAAGAGACTTAAGCAAAATAAATCAAGTCAAAATCAAATCAAAGTAAAGGCATTGTTGCAGGGGCTTTGCCAACATATACAAGAACTGGACTCACATTGGTAATTATGCACCAAGTTCCTTCTTAAGCTCAGGTGTTAATATTACAAACCTGGAAACCTGGCAAAATGACATTGTAACATAGATATGATGAGGGGGAGGGAATATCTTATTGCCGAATTCATTTTTGTTTTCAAAAGTCCCACAAAATTAGGGAACAGTTTCAGCTCCCGTGACACATTGTCAGGACACACCCTCAAGTCATGCCCATCAACCTGACCTGCCTCTTCCTGACCAGCACCCACAGCATCCAGCAGGGTGGAGATGGCAACACACCCACGACCCATCACTCCGGGACCACTTCTATGCTTACTACTCACACTTGGAAAGAGTCAGAAGGTCCAAGCCTTCAGCAGCTTAGCTCAGTCATACTCTAGCCTCATGAGAGAAGATTCTCTAAGATCTATTCAGTTTTCTATTAAAACCACCATTTCACAATGAAAATAAGGTAGAACAGAAAGAATGGAAGGGAAGCACAGGCCACTCTGCCTCAGTCAATCTGTAAGCACTACTAAATCTTACACCACACCTCTCCACATTACACCCCAAAACAAGATGCCTATTCAAGACTGCACTAACCTGTTTCTGCATTGAATGAGAGCTGATCAAAGTTTGTTAGAATTAGAATGGTAAAACTACGAGAGCATACATGAACCCAGTGATCCCAAAGCACTTTGTTGACCTTTGACAGCAACCACACCAAGGAAAATGCATCTTGAAAGCAGAGTTCTGGCAATGACACTATTCCAGCAGCTCTTACCAAATTATACAAAGCAATTCCTAACAGCAGTCACACTGATTGCTAAATGCACCTGGAGCCAAATAATTATCTTGCCACTGGTTTTCTCCTTGGGGTTTTATATGTAGTTTTTTATAAGTTGCAGTTCACAAGTACAGGTACACGAAGAAGTTAAACCAGCATAAAGAATTCTCTCTTCTTCCCTCCTTGCAATTGCACATTCTCTTTCCTAAAGCTCACTGCCCCACTGCTCTGTCTCTGGAGTCATGCCACAAGCCACCTCAGAGTCATTGAATCATTACAAGGATCTGGATTGAGAACAACCCATAAAACAGGGGAAAAATTTCTTAAAACCACAGTCACCAAAGCTGCATAGCACACAACTTTAGCAAAAGAAGTTAAGACAAGGTCTTCCAGCTTTCAAACATTTTTGGTCTGTTGGGTTGGTTTATTTTCCTAGTTACATCTCTTAGTCTACTCCATCACTACTTTCCTTCATAACAAATTTTGCTTTCAAACAGCTCAGTTCACTTCAAGCCACTGCAGGACCATGCTACTTCTACAAACTTGGGAAACAAGTGGGAAGGCTCTCCAGTGGGAAGTTAATTTTGAAATAAACAGTTACATACTGATGAACATCTAATCAAAACAAACACTTTTATGAGCCCCAGATCTACTTTCTGGCAGATAGGAGAGCTGAGCCATGTAAATTGTTCCAAAAGCTGGCTTTCTTTCAAAGGTAAATTATATGAGACCTTGTAGCCTATCACTGGAACCGCAAGCAACAGTTATTTAATAATGCACAGCAGCCTTGGGTATTTTAAGAATAAAGAACACTTTCAAATCAGAAATGGAATTTTCAGTAAACAGAGTGAAGTGAATCCAATTCTCTTCTGCTCCTTTCCTCTGTCCATGACAAAAAGTAGTTTCAGTTAGGCATAAAGTCAATTCAGACAAAACTGCCACAAAAATGCCAACACCAATTCAAACAGCACTGGGAAAAGAACAGCCTGCTTTGCACCCCCTCTCCTCACAGCTCTGTTGCTGAAACAACCACTGTACTTGCAAATGTGATGCTACTATGATTAAGGAAAATGTAGGGGTTTGGGACAGAAGAAATGTATCTGGCATAAAAACACTGGTTTCAACTTCCGCTGATCCTCCCTCCTTCAAATCCCAGACTGTCAACACCTCATGCAGCAAGCAGGCA